TTATGAAGACTTTTCCATCTCAGGAGAAGCATGAAACACAGTGGAAAAATTGGATGCAGCTATACGACTCGGATATTCTAAATGATTTAACCTTTCTATTTCATATACAATAAAAAAACGCAGATGAAAACAGCCAGTGTAACAGCAGTAGGTCTCAATATTAACAAAGAAAACAGCAGGATTTTGAAATACAACACAGAGCCCCAATCAAATCACATTTGATGAGGAGGCCCCGGAAGAGGCGGAAGCTGGTACACATTTGGGTATTACTGATAAACAACGAAAATCTGATGCAAATATGACGGCACAGATTCTCAAATCAAGAGTGCCATTCCTACAGTTGAAGAATATCACTTAAAACCTCAGTCAGTATTTTCAACATCAACGATAAAAGTTATGTTGTACGGAGCTGAAACTTGGAGAACTACAACAACCACCGTTAGAAAATTATAGATATTTATACACAGGTGTCTACATAAGATACCCCGGACCTGTGGCCAGAGACCATCAGGAACGATCGACTGTGGCAGGAAACGAACCAGCTTTCTGCTGGAGATAGATAGGATGAGGATTGCATAAATCACCGAACCTCGCAACAACGAAAGGGAAAGAAAAAAAGGCAGACATCAAGATTATGAGTAGCACCTGGGAACGACTGGAAATGAGAGCCCATGATAGAGTTCATTGGATGGTCGTGGTAGGTAGTCAATACTCCATGGGGGATAACAGGTTTAAGTAAGTAGTTACTTCTAAGTACGATAGAATGTAAAAGAAGTTTACGACAAAAATTTAGTGCAGGTCCCATTAAATATATTTAGTCCTACAGGCATGTTTCGAAATTTATTCAACAATTCTTGACCTTGATAAAAACGAGAAATAAATATAAAGCTATAACTGTCACATATTTTAAATAGTCATTAAATCTCAACCTTGTATCCTATTGTCAAACTAGTCAGGTTTAAAATAGTTATTAAGTTTGTAAATGTACACACATGTGAAGGCATGGAACACTACTAGCATTAACATAGTTTTATCTCATTACAAATTGGTCAGGGAACCTTTTATAAAGCAACTAACAAATTCATGTACACATTTTTCGTAAATAAAAAAATCCAACTACTGTACTGTAGCATTAAAACTAAAAATTTGGTAAGTCAACGTTAAAGTGTCGTGGAATCAATAAATTCTTTGGATATATTAATCTTTCTCACAGATTTGCACAGTTTATGCTTGCCATTATTGAATTCAATGAGTAAAACATCCATTAAAGTTTAATTTTGTTAAGCTAATACATTAATTTTTAAACAGTAAATAATACTTTAGATATTAAGAATTACATAATCTATTCTGGTTAAGTATTTCGACCATTAAGTAAATGAGAGACACTAGAATTGATTTTAAGATTAAAGTGAGCAAATCAAATAATCTATAAATAGATATGTTTATATTAGGTTAATCATTTTAATAAGTGGTTGCAGTATTTATACTTTATCATATACGATGGTGTTTTCGGGAACATACAAAGAAAAATCCCCGATTAATATGTCAAATCCCTAAAGTTAACGAAAAGAGGAAGTGAATCGCGACTACTGAGAAGCACTGAAAAAAAATTGAGTGAAATTTATTTCTATTAAAGTAGGTTGAAGTTCAGTTTGTTTGTCGTTTATGACCAACGATGGACTCAAATAGACCATATTGCCATCAGTCATCGTTGGAGAGGGTCGGTAGAAGATTGTCGCTCATTCTGGAGTACCTGCTTGGACTCCGACCACGCCCTAATACGGGCACGCATCTGCTTGCGCCTCACTGGACGCAAAAAAGCCACAGTAAAAAGACCCATTCGAACTGAACTGAGTAGCGAGGAAACCAAAAGTAGGTTCCAGGAACAACTGAGGTCACGATTAGGTAGTTCTGAAAACGAGGTTGACCCAGTTGTTGCTTGGAAAGCCATACAAACAGCTGTGGAAACAGCAGTGACATCTATCAGTGATTTAAACCAAAGGGTTACAAAGAACCAATGGATTTCTTCAAAGTCTATCACACTGATGGATTCTCGCAAACTCGTCCCATCAGGTTCCAAACATGATGAAGAGCGACAACAAATCAGATCTAGGTTAAGAAAAAGTCTAAGAAACGACCGTGAGCAGTGGTGGGCAATGAAAGCAAAAGAGATGGAAAAGGCGGCGACTATAGGGAACACAAGACAGCTTTACAGACTAATAAAAGAAACTGGAATTAATAAGTCAAGTGTAAGTGAGATTATATCGGAAAAAGACGATACACTCATCTGCTCCCAGTCCAGACGTTTAGAACGATGGGCGGAACATTTCAGAGAACAGTTCAACTGGCCTTCAGCTACTCTACAACTACCCTCCATTCCCAGACAATGTGAATGGAACATTGAAGTAGGTCCCCTAACTCTTGCTGAAGTTCAAAAGGCTATAGTTAATCTGAAACGAGGAAGGGCAGCTGGTCCAGATGGATTGGCTCCAGAGGTCTTTAAGGATGGTGGTCCAATTTTAGCGATTAGGTTGACTAATATTTTAGCTAAGATCTGGGAGTTAGACGTTATTCCATCTAACTGGTCACAATCACTTATCGTCCCAATATATAAGAAAGGGTCAAAATCATCCTGTGACAACCACAGAGGGATTAGTTTAACTAATATAATATCTAAAATACTAGCCTCGATAATTATCAGATGCCTAACTAAGACTCGTGAACTGCAAACACGAGAGAACCAAGCTGGCTTCAGACCTGGTCGTGGCTGCATCGACCACATATTCACCATTCGTCAGGTTCTAGAACACAGGCATACTTATCGACGTCCGACAATGGTGGTCTTTCTCAACTTAAAAGCAGCATTTGACTCGGTAGACCGCGAGATTCTGTGGCAGTGTCTATCATTGAAAGGCGTACCTTAGAAGTACATAAACCTTGTAAAGGCTCTTTACTCGAACACTACTAGTCGAGTCAGAGCTTATGGCGAACTGTCATCTACTTTTATAACCTCAAGTGGTGTCCGTCAAGGCTGTCCACTTTCCCCATTTTTGTTTAACTTCATCATAGATCTACTGATGGAAATAACTTTCTCGTCGACTGAGTTCTCGAGTATTGATCTCCATCCAGGAGGTCCAATTATCGACTTAGAATACGCAGATGACATAGTCCTGTTTGGTGAAGACGCTGACAAAATGCAGAGTCTTCTGGCAGCACTGAGCAACAATGCCAGAATGTTTGGAATGCGCTTCTCTCCCTCTAAATGCAAGTTGTTGCTTCAGGACTGGTCTGCGTTAACACCGGAACTAAGGATAGGGAGTGAAGTAGTCGAACGCGTCGACAACTTCACTTATGTTGGAAGTCTGATCAGTTCTAATGGGTTGGTGTCTGACGAAATCTCAGCACGGATTCGAAAAGCTCGATTGGCTTTTGCCAACTTGCGCCACCTATGGCGAAGGCGAGATATCCGTCTATCAATAAAAGGACGAGTATACTGCGCGGCAGTCCGTCCTGTTTTAATTTACGGCAGCGAAACATGGCCATTAAGAGTAGAAGACACTCGTAAGCTATTAGTATTTGACCACAGATGCCTTAGAAATATTGCTGGCGTCTCCTGGGATCACCGGGTAAGTAATAGTGAGGTTAGACGTAGGGTATTAGGGAATGATCGTAAATCAGTTGATTACGTTATGAATCTTCATCGACTGAGATGGTTGGGCCACGTGTTACGTATGCCTGAACACCGATTATCACGACGTGCAATGCTATCCGAAATTGGAGATGGTTGGAAGAAAGTTAGGGGCGGCCAAACCAAAACGTGGCATCAGTCCATGAAGTCACTAATTTCCAGTCTGAGCCATGTTGGTAGATGCAGACTACTTGGTTGGGGTCCGCGTGACTATCGTAACCAATGGTTGGAGACTCTTGGTGACATGGCTCAGAGCCGATCACAATGGCGTCGGTGTATACACTCTCTGTCTTCCCTTAAACTAAGAGATTAAAATCGCTTCATATCTTTCTTTCTACGAACCAATTCTTTCTTCTTGTACTATATCTCTATATGCAATCTTTCTCTTATATATTACTACCTTTGACCTAACCACTGCTATGAATCCGGTGTTCATCTTGTTGTGCTGATGCGGTATGGCAACCTGGACCGATGCACATATGTGCCTGGTCCTTCGTTGTAGCTGACTGACTGACTGACTGTCGTTTTTGACATCCTGACGGAATTTACTGCACATTTATGATATTTCTCAGTACCTAAACTAATCTTCCACTTGCTTTTGCGTTTTCAAAGTTTGTTTAGTGATCGTCATTCCCCAAACGCCCTGAAACGACCGAGGGTGGGGAGAATCCACTCTCCCTTTCGAAATACTCTATTCCCTGACACTGCCAGGGGAGTCCTACTCACCTTCGCGATGGTGATGGTTACGAAATCGAGAGGACGAAATGTGAAAGTCCGGCGTTTTAACTGGGGTGGTGGATATAGAGAATCCACCTAGTGGAGATGGAAAACCCTGATTCCAAACCAATGATGCACATGGGCTCCAGGATCCTGAGGGAAAAATGGTGAACGAACCTATTGTTGGTCACCGGTTACCATGGGACTGCATCTCCTAACTTTGCTCCACTGCCATGTGGATCAAACTTCTAGATCAAAGGCTCAGGAAGTGGCCCCAAAGAAAACCACCCCTTTCAATTTGGACACCGAGGAAGTATCCAAGCACTCACAAATCGAATGACGAAATGTGGCGCATATATATTTAGTGCCTTCTTGTACCTATGTTTAAATAAATGAATAAACTGACCCAATTTCTCAAAAAACGTTTTGTACTGATAACGGAATACCAGTGCTATTGAACTACCCCATATAGTAGATGTACTGATAAATAGCTGAGAATAAATTTCGAAGGACTTTTGGAACAGCCTTTAAAACCTTATTCTTTGAAACGCTGAAAATGTTAATACTGGTTGAAAAGTCAAATATAATAATATACCTTTGTTCTTGTTGGGATACATTCTGTGATCCGATCCCACCGCTCAGGTGTCCCTTTACCAATAGAGCGTATAGCGACCTCCAACTGTTGTTGTTCTACTTTAGTCCATCCATCATTACTTTTGATAGGTTTAATTTCTGTAGATTTAAGTGTTGCTTCATCTTTCTGTTTGAGTTTTTTTCGACTAATATATGGTTCATCAACTATGACGACGTCTGTAATTAATAATAAATTAATACAACCAACAAAATTAGCCATATAAAAGTAGACACGAATTCACAGACAAGCCTTTTTTTAAATGGATTAGTATAAAAAATGAAATAAGTATTTAAGAAGTTAAATTTACATCAGATTAAAGAGAAGTAGATAAAAATTGGAAGATAATGTATTTGAATAACGAAACACCAAACTGTTACAAGCCCAATCATGTGTAAAAGCTATTCGCAAACAAGACATTAAGCAGGTAATAAATAATAATAGTATAGAAAGTAAATACAACAATAATGGCGTATATTGGTTAAATAAGAGAAGTTTAACGTAACTCACTGCAACCTAGTTAATAAAAAAATATCTAAAGAGGTGTACGGTGATTTTGAACCTTAGAATGAACAATATAAATCACCAAAGTTCAAGTTGATCTAACTAACAAGTTTAAGGTAGGACGAAATACATGTTATGAATTTCGTTGATGGTCATTATCAACTGAAAGGAAATGTAAGACTACTGTATTTTCTATCAGTTTCAAGGAGAAAAAATCTGTAGGTCTGCTTTTTCATGGTAAAATATTTTGTTAGAAATACATCAGGTTTGTTGCTTGTATGAGTCCGATTCCAAATGAACTCAATTGATGAAAATGTTATCAGTACTGAACTCGTCAGTCAGTCAAACGTAACTTAGAACCTGGCATGTATTTAAATCAGTTTAAGTTGCATTACGATATTAGCACAGCAACATGTTGTTAGAGCAGATCCTAGAGTAGTAGAAATGGCAAAAGTATTAGTGGTAACAGAAAAGATTAGGCATCAAGTACAGAACTCAAAGAGAAAATCTAAATTAGTTAATTTGGAAAAAACGACCCTGGATTTATTTTGATCTGAAATATTCCCATTTTAAAATAGGGATTTATTCTTTACTTCTTTGATAAACTCAAATTTTTTTTCGATTTTATAAAATTATATTGACAGCCTCACCCCTAAGAAAACATACACGTGCGTTAAGCCATATTTCAACAAAATACTAATGCCAAATATTTAAAGACAACATACACTATCATACATGACATCTAAAGTAGTTTAAGCAAGATTGAAAACAACAATGAATCTTAGGTTATTGCCTTCCTTTTTAAATAACAAATAAAACATGGACATGATAGATCAAGCTGATTAATTCTACACAGAACAGAACTTAAAGATTGTACGCATTCAGAGTGATCACTGTTGACAAAATTTCATACTCTGCAGGAATGGTGATTTAACGATATTTTTGTTATCTCCCATAGTACGGATTTCATTTGGAAAGTGCATAAAAATGTTAACTAGTTTTTTTTTAAAAAAAAGATTATAGTCATTCGTTATGTATTATCAATTGATTGATAAAAAGAATCTTATTTTGAAATTAAAATGATTAAAGGACTACTTAAATTGTGTATGCCAAAAACTTACCTGAGGACAAATCATTATTCGCATTCAGTTGAGTTTCTCCATTTGTTTGATTGACAACGCAGGGTTCTTTTCGTCTCAATAAACGTTTACGAAGTCGTTTTTTTGAATATTGTTCTTCACCTGATTCGTCTGATTGATTATTACTTTGTTCAGAATTACTTTCTCCACAGAAATTATTTACATTTGTTTCAAAGGTTGGGATTTCATCAGGATTTATATCTAAATAATAACGCAATAAGTAGAAAGAAATTATTTAATGATTAAAACGTTCGGGATACATTGAGGAGAAATTTCCCATATTTAGTGTAAAAAAGACAATGTTTCAGTGTAACTGGTAAAAGAATAAGTACATAGAAAAAACGCTAACAAAAAGTTAGACAATTTATCGTGGCAAAAATGACGGGAATATTGTAAACAAACCGCAAATGTACTTAAAAACCGCACGAATAACACTATTTATAACTCTATCAGTTTGTAAATATATATTTCTACATATACTGGAAGACGCAATGAAGTATCTGATATACTCGTTTCATACAGTATTCCATAAAGTAAAAACCTCTCAACTTGATAATTAGTACAGGTAAAGAGTAGACAGCTCTATTTATGTGAGATCCCTTAATGATTTGTCATTGAACATCACCTTATGAGAAAACAGAATCATACCCTATAACATAAAATTTGGGTTTTGTAATGACACTTAACTTTATTGATAACTTAGAAAAAGAAAAGGACATAATATATGGTAAATTACGGTGAAAACGTTTAACCAACCACTATTGTAGCCTCACTCAGGGCGTCGATTCAAAATCGATGTATGTGATCTATCTGAGACCCGTATTCGAAACTAGTGAAGTACTTTTGTGGTGTATGCTATATAGACTGACAGATATAAGTAGTAGCAAACGGAAGTGGAACGCCTACCAGTAGAAGATTGACGTGGAGTGAACAGGAAGGAAGACAGAGAGCAAGAGGAATAACAGGTGTTGGGGGAACCATGAAGTGAGTAAAGGACAACTGAAGGAGTATGTGCAAATAGTGTATTTAATGTATGATTGTCAGATTTTACGAAGGCGTTAAACAATAACGTGGTTTTCTGTGCATGAGATCTCCTTCACTATACTACAAGTTTGGTCTCCAAATGTCTCTCTGAAACATTTGTTTAGCATATGTCTATCCGGGAACCCTGTGACATCACTTGGTTTTGATGGCGTTGGTGCCGCACCAAGCGCTATCCCCCAAATGCCCTGGTATGGCCGAAAGTGGGGCGGGCCCGCCCTCCCTCTCGAAATGCTCTCACATGGCCACGCGTATACAGCCTCTACCAGGGAAGTCCTGCTCACTGCCTTCTCGTGGCATTACTGTTGTTTACGAAAATGAGAGGGACGAAAGGCGAATGTCCGGCGCTCTAACCAGATTCCAAACCAATAGTGCACATGGGCCCCAGTATCCTGAGGGAACAAATGGCGTGTGAACCAATCGTTAGTCACCGGCTACCATGGGAATGCATCTCCTCACGATGCTCCACTGCCTTGTGAGTCAGACCTTTAGGTCAAAGGCTCGGGTGTGGCCCCCTAAGAAAACCACCTGTTTCGGTCTGGGCTGGCTATGTCTTTGGAAAGTCTTAATATCGACGTTTGTTGTCTATCCGAGACCCGTATTTAAGGCTCGGGTGAAGTACTACAAGTTCGCTCTCCATCTGTCGCTTCAAAAAGCTTGTTTTACGTACGTTTATCCGGGGACCCTGTGGCATCTTCATCTGGTCTTGCTGGCGTTGGTGTCATACTAAGCGCTAGAGCTGAGGCAGCACTAATCGATTGGATCCCCATTAACAGTCGGCTATGTGCTGTTAGATTAGAAAGTTCCATCAAAGTGAGAAACGATGTCTTTTCATCATCTCCAACTACGCCCCGACAGATTGCAGCCCGGATGCAATCAAGGATGAATTCTACCACCAGTTATCTGTTCTTCTCCAGAAAGTGCGTTCGACAGATATTGTAGTACTAGCTGGAGACTTGAATGCTCAGGTCGGGCGTCTAGGCACAGAAGCGAATCATTTAGGTGTTCGATGGGGACTTGTTGGTCGCAGGACAGATAACGGAGACCGTCTACTGCAACTTTGCACAGACCACAACCTGCTTATGGCTAGCACCAACTTTCGGCACAGTCATCGCCGATGTGCCACCTGGCGTCCTCCCTCTGCATCCCAAGCCTGGACTCAGATTGATCACATCGCGATCAGCTACAGCTGGCGTGGTTGTGTACAAGATTGACGCTCCTTCTGGAGTACCTATATGGACTCTGATCATACATTACCTTGGTCTGCGCCAATCTTAACTTACTTTTCAGTGGCCAACGAAGTGACCGCCACCAAAGGATTGATGTCAACGAGTTGGTTGCAACTTCTGTTGGAAGTGAGTATCGAACCGAGCTAGGTTCAAGGCTAGCTACCATTCCACCAAAAAGTATAGAAGTATAGAGCATTGGTTGCAACTTCATGACGCCATAAAAATGGAGGATAAAGCCGCTTGCGGCCTCGCGAAACGTTCCGCTTATAAGCACTGGGTTTCTTCAGGCTCCTTACAACTCATCGAAGCCCGTCGGTTTACTCCAAATGACCGTGAGTTTGACCACAAACGAAGGCTGTCACGTAATGAGATCGGGAAAAGCTTGCGTAAGGACCGAGAACCTGGTGGTCGGAGCGTGCTAATGAGCTGGAAGCAGCAGCTGCATCTGGTAACTACCGGAAGCTCTTCTAACTCATCCGAGCCACTGGCAGCAAGAAGTTTGCTGTGAGCGAAACAATCTGCGAGGATGATAGGATGCCAATCACTAACATTCATCGACGTCTTGGACGATGGGCAGAATTTTTCGAAGGGCAGTCCAACTGGCCTGCTGCTCCGGCAACATCGGTCAGACTGTCCTACCCTCCATGGCCGGTGACGATTGATCTACCAAACGAGGTGGAAGTCCACAAAGAACTCCAAATCTTGAAGCACTACAAATCACTGGGCCCAAATGACTTACCTCTGGCTCTTTTTAAAGATGGTGGTGACTTCCTGGCTAAGGAACTGACTGTGTTGTTCACGAAGGGTTCATGTCGTTCCTGTAACAACTATCGGGGGATAAGTCTACTTCCAACTGAGTCCAAGCTATTGGCTTCCGTCATACTTCGTAGGTTGTTCAAAACCTGAGAAAGATTGACTCGCGAGGAGCAGGCTGGGTTTCGTTCTGGTCGAGGATGTATTGATCATATCTTCACCCTCCGTCAAATGTTAGAACACCGTCACACTTATCACAGGCCAACAATCGTAATGTTCTTTGACATTAGAGCTGCTTTCGATTCGTTGGACAGGACTGTTCACTGGGATTGTCTATTGAAGAAGGGTATCCCTGAGAAGTTTATTAACATCCTAAAGGCTCTATATACAAACATCTCAGGCAGAGTGAGGGCATACAACCACCTCTTTCCATTGTTCCATTCAAGCAGTGGGGTTAGACAGGGTCGCCCAATCTCACCATTCCTCTTCAACTTTGCCATCGATGACATTCTGGAAACAGCTCTGATGGATGTAAGTAATGGCGGTGTAGATCTGTTGCCTGGAGAAAGACTTCTCGACCTTGAGTACGCGGATGATATTATCTTACTGTGCGATAATGCCCAAGCCATGCAATCCGCCCTTAACCAGTTGGTAATCAATGTCCGTAGGTACGGTATATGCTTTGCACCTCCGAAGTGCAAAGTACTTCTACAAGACTGACAGGATTCTAATCCTGTACTCACCCTGGATGGTGAGCAGATAGAAGTAGTCGAGAAGTTTGTGTATCTAGGTAGCTGCATAAGTGCTGGTGGTGGCGTGAGTGATGAGATCAATGCAAGTACAGTGAAAGCCAGAGTGGCTTATGCCAATCTGGACCATCTTTGATGTTAGTCTGGCTGTAAAAGGTCGAATCTACAACGCGTCGGTGAGAGCAGTTCCCCTCCACACTTGTGAAACCTGGCCTCTCCGAGTTGAGGATGTTAGACGACTCTCTGTATTTGGTCATCGTTGTCTCCGAAGGATTGCTGACATCCAGTGACAACACCATATTAGTAATAGAGAGGTTCGGCATCGTGTGTTCGGGTGCAGAGACGATAATCCAATTGGTGTCACCATCTTGAAACACCGACGTCGGTGGCTTGGACATGTTCTACGAATGTCGTCACAGAGAATTCCACGTCGTGGATTATTTGCCGACGTCGGGACTGGTTGGAAAAAGCGGAGAGGTGGTCAGTGTATAACATGGTGTCGTGGTATGAAAGAAAACTGTACAGGGCTGGCTTTTGTCGGTCCTTCACGACTCCCTAGTTGGAGTCCTCGAGATGGTGCAACACAAAGGCTCGAGACATCATCAGAAATGGCTCAGAATAGAAATCAATGGAGATCCTGCTGTAGATTTATTTCTTCATAAAGAAGAGAGTAACTTCTTGAATTGGAAGAATTCTTTCTTGTATTTTTCCAAACTGTACTGCTTCTCCCATTATTATTATTATTTAGTGGCCCTATATCTGACTCCAATTGGACTGTACGCTGATTGTCGTCGAAATACACATGTCGGCTATCCTCATATATTTCATCGACTTAAATCGCGCTGGTGAATAACGGAATTAAATAAGTCAAATACGAGAATGGAATATTGAATACTTGTATTTTGTACACTCACTGATGTGGACAGGAAATGAGAGGGATGGAGCTAATAGAAGAGAGCGAAGCGAAATGGCGGTTGGTGGAGAAGGCGTGTGAGCCAACTCCATTTGACCAAGCGTTAATCAATATTTAGAGCCAGATAAAAATACGTTACAGACATGTGATGAATGTGATAAGAAGTGTACACACATATACGCTCATATAAGTCAGAGTTGATAAGTGAATAATTAACAAAGTTCAAAGATGACTCAAAGAGAATGGATAAATTGGCCTATCCAGAAGCTAGAATAAGTTATATGGGCTTAATATAGCAACCGACACTACAATTTAACTTCCATCCACTAGTTTCTATTTACTGTTCTTTTTTATTATACTCACTTTCCTTTCTCTTTACAACTTCATTTTTATTGTGTGTTGTATTAATATTTGATGGCTTCTTGTACAAATGTTTGTGCTCAAATAATAATTGTAGCTCGCAATTTACATGGAACATGAAATCATACTTTCCATAAATCTATGATTAAGAGTTAAGTATAAAATAATGATTATGCTAGCGAATATAACTACTCAAGTGACCTGGTAAATATATTTCTTGATGCTTGGAGTGACAGGTGCTATATTCAAACCTCATCATAAAAACTAATATAATAGGACCCGCTACGTATATCTGACAGAATGATGTACTGGTTTAGGCAGTTAACAAGTGTCTCTAACTTCTCAAAGCCTAGATGATGATTAAATTATGTTTATTAAGTTACCAGTTACATAAATAATGTTATTAACGTAAAGAAAAATAACAGTACATGAAACGGTTTTGGCTTGATTGTGATTAAACAAAGGTTTCATATGTTTGTCATATTATGCACTAATTTCTTTTCTGTAGTTTTCAGCAAATGGATGGAATAATTTCGACACTAAATGCAAAAAGCAGCATAAGTGCTCGAATACCGACAGTTTTCTTTTATAAGTTAATCTTGACTATCGTTTCACAACTAAACATGATTTAGGGCACACTATTATGTATCTTTTAATAACAATATTTCGTTACAACAGTCATGCAAACAGAGCCCAAAACGAAAATGAAATTCAGAACACTTGGCAGTGAAAAGATTTTAACCAGGGAACAAACTGTTGATTTTAGTAGTCTTAACTGTTATTGTATACAGTTATACACGGACTTTAGAAATATGGTACATTATCTTTCAGAATTGAGTTTAAATATTAGCCATGAAATTAATATAAGTAGTGCTTGATTACTTATACTTCGATCAAAAATGTAAACCCTTACTTTGTAATAGGGTTTTATAGGCAAACAATTTCGAAAACAAGAATAATTAAGTGAGGAAAAGTGTTTTCAATGACTATTGAAATTAATTTCTTTACTAAACTGTCTTTGTGCCCCAAATGCCCTGGTACGGCTGAGAGTGGGGAGAGTCCACTCTTCCTTTCGAAATGCTCTCACATGGCCACGCGTATATAGCCTCTGCCAGGGAAGTCCTACTCACTGCCTTCTCGTGGCGGGGGTGTTGTTTACGAAAATGAGAGGGACGAAAGGCGAATGTCCGGCGCTTTAACCGGGTTGGTAGACATGGAGAGTCCGCCCAGGGGAGTTGGAAAACCCTGATTTCAAACCAATGGTGCACATGGGCTCCAGTACCCTGAGGGAACAAATGGCGCTCTCCGATGACATTCTTAATAAATTTGAGGAAAATATTTCAAAAGAATTAGATCCTGATATCATATCATATATTATTTATTATCATAATGCATTTGCTTCTTGTGGGAAACTTAATCAGTGCGAAGCACGAGTACTAAATGAACTCGATCTTGATTATAATTCTGATGATTTCATATTAACTGTTGCTTCTTCTTATCCTGAAGTCACTTCTAATGAATACCCCAGTCAGTGTGAGAAATATGTTTTAAATGAAGTCACACCATTCATAACTTAGGGATATGAAGATCCAACATTATTTCGTGGGGGAGGATAGTGTTGGAATATCTATGGTTCAAACTCTAGATATCAGTGGTTTCAATACAAAACCGACATGATGATTGTATACAATTCCAGGACCCAGCTGAATCCATTCCAATTTCGGCTGTTAATTTGAATATTAATGAGCATATTCTAGATCATACAGAGTCTACATCCAATACACGGTCAGACAGACACGATTAATCTAAGGAGAAGAGATACAAATGATTGCAGAAATTAGGATTCTCATTTGAGCTGTGGGGGATGTGGTGTTTGTATGAACTAATGATTCCTTTGTACTTGTTGAATGCTTGATTTCGAATTCCAAATACAGTACATTCGTTCGTGCTTATCTACTACATCTTGATCTAATTGCGTTATTTCTGGGATTCATAGTTTGTACTATAGTTCAAATACTCCTAATTATCATAGTCAAATAATAATTGATTTTAAAAAAAAATCTGACACAGCAATCAGTTTCACATGTCTTTTTCACATGATGCTCAAATAGAAAGTGACTATTAGTTAAGAATGATACGATAATAATTAAAATACAAAATCCACTGTGCAGAATTATGATGTCAATTACTATAATGATTAATTAAACAAAAGGAACAAGAACATCAACTTGGTTAATTCACTCATAAAACAATTTGTGTAAATTCCATCACTGTATTAAAAACAAAAAGGCAATAGCACTATTATTACTATTACAAGTGAAAACTTGTTGAAATCTTGATAAGAAAGTAGACATATAGTACCTACTTTTTTGAGAAATAGACATTAATTCTTTACTCATATATTTCGCTTTACGAATAACATCAGGAACACTACGACCAAGAGATTCTGCGATACGTTGCCATCTCCCAGGAACACCTCCAGGATATCGAATTACTGCACGAACTAAATTGTCTCTATCCACTTCTGACCACTGAAAAATAAAGCAGAAGCATATTTATGGCAAACTAACCTTTAGTGATAAATATAATATTGAAAACCATTGTTCTGTATCTTAAATTAAAATTATCTAAACATTCGACAAAGAAAATATACAAATAATGGTAGAATAGTAAGCAGAGAGTAATCAGACATAAAAAAAATCCTTATATCACAATGAATTCACAATCATTGTTAAAGTTACTCGAGTGAACGATTTAATCAAATATAGAGAAATTAAACTGGTTAAATGTAACCCTTGGTTGGAATTTTTGAGAATAGTTAGTTCCACAGAAAGACATTCTAAATACAATGGCTGGACATTAATTTACAGAAGAAAATGTTTTGCATAATCCATAACCTACCGACATCGAGTATTATCAATGATGATAGACGGTCTTATGGTCATCGAGTTTATTATTTCAGAAAACAATTCTCCAACCAAAGGATATGCTTCAATGTTCAGTTAGATCGCCTATTAAAATTCTTGAGAAAATTGCTCACCGTATTCAGTTAACTTCTATTAAGGTGGAGCAATTAGATTGCTAATCAACTATCTTCTGTTGGGCACCATTCACAAGTATCCACAAAAGTATATATTTAATTAAGTTGAACCAACAAGTGAGTTATGCTGAAGTCAAAATTACAGATGAAATGAAGTTCACAGAAACATTAAAAGTAGGTTAGGTGAGATAATTATGCACGTACATAACTACACTCTCGCCATGACACGTGGTGCCAGTTAGAATTGTAGTAAGATAGTAGAAGCGTCATGGAGTTCAAATTAAGATAGCATGAATCCGTTATATGTATAACTTTAGCTTTGAAGTATGTTGAAAAGTATAAGATTTTCGTCTGATGTTTATGAGAAATCAGTGGTTGAATACTTCAGGTGATATAGTTTATAATCACGAGTTGAATCCACTGGCTGATGATGCTAGTGAAAAATATATCTCTATTGACTTCGCACATAACCTGTGGACTTTACAAGTTTGGGATCACGGTATATTAAAAGTCAAATTACAGATGACTTCCGGATACGTATATTTCAGGCATTATATGAATAGACAAACCGAGAGTGAATAAGCATACGCGGTGTGGAGGAGCAGTTACTAGCCAACTCGCAAATATGAGACATATTGTGTAACGAAAATAGACAACGTAACAAGTTAGGAGAGAGATACTCACAGTCGTACAAGGTCACAGAATACTTGGCCAGATAGGAATGGCACAGCTAATGGGTTACGTGGGGTACGGTATGAAGTGCCACAAACTTAATAAGGATCATATTAATGCCAATCTATTTCTAACGTCGAGATGTGCTAGGAGAATCATTATTCTAGTGATATTAATGCGACATGGTCCTATTGCATGTTTGCATTACTGTCGTCTTTATTTTCGCTTTGACTGTCACAAAATGTTGAAAATTAGTTAGGAAGACCACCTTTTGCCAAGTTGATTGTTTTTATTTACCAGTCCATAGTCCAATGTCTTTAGGAAGTTACAAGTCTATTACAACAGAAAGAGATATGGTATGAAATCTGAAATATTCAGTTTGCTGCTTATATAGTGATTACCAGGTATCATTCGGTGCCCATTGGTAATATTTTCTATAACTTCTGATTATGTTTATTCTTTCTCATACATCTGTATATCATGGTGTTTATTACATGAAACTAAGTGATACTTATTATCTAGTCTTTTTGTAACCCACGCAGTCCACGGAATACTAATGAAGATATAAAAATCCGATATCCAAATTATTTATCACGAGGCTGGATTATATCGTTTTAGGGTACCAATCGGGTGCTATTTCACCCGTCATTTTAACAACCAAGTCTTGTTAATAGTGAGAAAATGTGACGGTGATAAAACCTTTTATCAGTCTTGTTTTAGTACATCAATCATTATACTGTCAACTATTTATACCCAACCACTCGTGGAATGTTATTGAAATGAGCTTACCCACTTGGGTAAAATAGAGATGCAACTGGAAACACGATTATCAATACAAGGACACTAAAAGTTGTGCGTTTAATACATCAGCATATAACGAAATCATTTCTCGAAAATCGAAACTAGTTTCGTTAGGATGAAGCCGTTGAATGTACGCTATGCAGCTGCAAAATCGAAAACTTGAAATTATTGCTAAATGTTATAGACGAAGTAAAGATAGACGTACTTCTCGATAAACAGGATCTTTTGCTTCACTTTTTGAATCTTCATCAGAACTCTCAGTCTCAATATTAGGAATGTCTGTAAGGACTGAATTCAAAGTTGATTGGCCAGCCTCCTTTACAACTTCTCTAAGGATTGTTTGTTCGTGTACTAAGCGACGTTTGCGTTCTTGTTTATCAGCCTTAAGTTTTTCTTTTTTTTCTTGAAGAACTAAAATGTAGATAGATAAGACATAAACGAAGTATATAACTAGCTCTAGATAGATAAACACAAAACTGGGATCTTTTTCGGTTTAAGTTGATACACATTAAAATAACAAAAGGGAGTCAGGAGAATTAATATATTGGTTTTCTTGAGAAACATTATGCCATAGAAGCAATGGTTCAGTGGTCAAGGTGTTCGACTTTCAGCCGCAGTTCTGGTCTTGAACCACGTCCCACCTATTTCGGTTTAGGTAACCGGGTAGTATCACTAGCTTTCAAGTGTGGCTCATTCCCAAGGACTCGTGAACGAGTTTATTTAATTCCTTAGAAATGATAGAAACGATGAATAAGAACTTTCGTTTAAATTTGAACGAATAGTTTCACAATATTTGGGCGCCGAGTTAATTTGAGACATTAAAAAGAAGAATATATTTGTAAAATCTCAGCGAATGAATTATAAGTAAATCCAACGTTTCGCCTGGCAATCTGGTCCAAGCTTTTTCAAGGAAAATATAATCAAACAACAAAATTATCGATAATTTTGTTGTTTGATTATATTTTCCTTGAAAAAGCTTGGACCAGATTGCCAGGCGAAACGTTGGATTTACTTATAATTCATTCGCTGAGATTTTACAAATATATTCTTCTTTTTAATGATAGAAACGATGGTTTAGAGGTCAAAATACTCAACTTTTAGAAATGAGTTTAGTGATAAATCGTGACGAAAAATTTGTCGTCACATTTACCTAACATAAATATTTTCTTCAGTGGGTTTTAGTAAGCTACTTAGTCCTACTGAACTATTTAAAACTAACAAGTTGGACACTGGAATTAACAACGAACGGTATTATTGAGCTGTACGGCAAACGACGCGTTCAACTGACGAAATATGTTAGTTCTATAAACTTCCATTTGGACACGAGATATGAAGGCACTAGTTAAGATACATTTATCTTCATATCTTGCTACTTTTGCTCAACATTTACCAAGATGACTAAGAATGATATTTAGAAACCACAATTTAATTTCGCTCACTGTATAGAATCTTAGATGGAATATCCAACTAATGTGCCACATTAATGCAATTAAACTTCCCAGTAAATCATATGTTGAAGACCCATTTTTACAAAATTTACCCATAAGCAGATAATTTGTAAGAGCCTACTTCGAACTTCTTCCCTGAGTTCACGACGTTGTTGTAATTTCTCAGAAATCTTTCCGTTAATAAATTCAGTGAAAACGGGAATAAATGTGATGATAGCATATATCCATCTGACAATAGCGAACGGAAGCAAATCAAACCATCCGGGAGCGGGAATCTTTTGAAGTTCGTCAGATATCTCTTGGTTTATTAGTTCCAACTTCCGATCACGAGCTTTGTGACGTTTTAAAGAAGTGCTAAGTTGATCTTCCTAAACAGTATGAATAGAAGTGAACTCTCATACCAAAGTAAGCCGCTTCTCAAAAACTGAGCCCCAAAGTGCAGCATAATGAATTATGGTAGCCATTCCAAAGAACAACCCAAACAGTTCGTAGTTAGACATTTTGCGGAGCTTCCTAAAGTAAAATACTGGGGTTCGCCAACTGGGCAAACCATTTATCAGCACTTCGTCATATCTAAAAAGAATAAGGGAATGTTCTCCGATATACTTACTTGACACGTAATTCCGAATTCTTAAGGACTTCGTAAATACCTACAAGCCTTCGGAACTTCTGTTCTGCAGTAGGATCATCTGGATTCTTGTCTGGATGAAGTTTAGAAGATAACTTTCGGTAAGCACGTTTTATTTCAGAAATATCAGCAGTCTGCGCGTATATTGTAATTAAATAAAACTCAACTTTACATGAGAAACCCCCAGAAAGTCATAAAAATTTTCCTTGACTTCTTCAACTAAATCAAACATTTGGAGTTCTCCAGAATCCCATGCGCTCACTTTTCCACACAATAAGGCGAGGAAGAAAATGTAGATTATCATCGTAGACACTCACGACCACTTATTACCGTCAATAAGTCGACTTTTCGTCTGTAGGTACTGAATTGGTAGATGCTATATGAGTTTGATAGTGACAGCTGACTCAATTGGCGATATATTCTGGTAAAAAAAACATGTACCAACAAACGGGTAAACATAGCGAATAGACGTATAATAAAGTGATCTATGTACAAGCTCAAATCCAACCCATTATTTGCAAATGAAAATAAGAATCAAATCGTTTAGACTTCAGCTGTGCCATATTCAGCCGTCAACAAGGTCTCACTTGGTTTCCAAGTGTGTGGTTATTACTGAGAGGGTGAAGGAAAAAAATATGTTTGGTGGTGATAACATACTCAACTAATTAAAGGAAACAAAGGACGATGGAGAATTGTTACTAGGATACCTACTTCGGTCTGGGCACCTGGTCAGTACCACAGCCCATACATAAACCAAGTGACTTGTGTGGTGCATATGTATTCGGTGTCCCTTTGTCAGTCAGCAGTCAGCTACAACGTAGAACCAGGCACATATGTCAGTCAGTCAGTAACAACGTAGAACTTCGTACGTACGTACATCAGTTCGAGTTGCCACACCACATTAGCACAGAGATGCACTTGTCGATTCAAATCCCGTAGTGGTAGAGGTAATAAGAGTATAAGCAGTAATCGGGAAGATTAGGGTTTGGAGATGTTATTTAAAGAGTATAATCCAGTGAAAGAAATTTGGAAAGAGGAAAAAAGGGACATGAAGAATTCAGAAGATTAGAATTTGGGAGAACACAGAGAGTGGATGCACCTGCGCCATTGCAAACGATTTTGAGCCATGTCATTCAGGGTCTCTAACCATCGGTTGCTGTCATCTCGCGGTCCCCAACCAGGTAGTCTACACCTACCAACATGACTCAGTTCACTTGTCAGTGACTTCATGGACTTGTGCCATGTTTTGGTTTGGCCGCCCCTAGCTTTCTTCCAACCTACTCCTATACCACTGAACATAGCACGTCGAGGCAGTCGGTCGTTGGGCATACGTAACACGTGTCCCAGCCATCTCAACTGATGAAGTTTCACTACTTCATCAATTGATTTGCCATCCTTACGTAGTACCCGTTTCCTAACAACTGTGTTACTTACTCGATGGTCCCATGATATACGAGCAATGTTTCGAAGACAACAATGATCAAATACTAGTAACCTACGGATATCCTCAACTCTTAACGGCCATGTTTCGCTGCCGTAAATTAAAACAGGACGGACTGCCGCGCAGTATACTCGTCCTTTTATTGATAGACGGATATCTCGCCTTCGCCATAGGTGGCGCAAGTTGGCAAAAGCCAATCGAGCTTTTCGAATCCGTGCTGAGATTTCGTCAGACACCAACCCATTAGAACTGATCAGACTTCCAACATAAGTGAAGTTGTCGACGCGTTCGACTACTTCACTCCCTATCCTTAGTTCCGGTGTTAACGCAGACCAGTCCTGAAGCAACAACTTGCATTTAGAGGGAGAGAAGCGCATTCCAAACATCCTGGCATTGTTGCTCAGTGCTACCAGAAGACTCTGCATTTTGTCAGCGTCTTCACCAAACAGGACTATGTCATCTGCGTATTCTAAGTCGATAATTGGACCTCCTGGATGGAGATCAATACTCGAGAACTCAGTCGACGAGAAAGTTATTTCCATCAGTAGATCTATGATGAAGTTAAACAAAAATGGGGAAAGTGGACAGCCTTGACGGACACCACTTGAGGTTATAAAAGTAGATGACAGTTCGCCATAAGCTCTGACTCGACTAGTAGTGTTCGAGTAAAGAGCCTTTACAAGGTTTATGTACTTCTAAGGTACGCCTTTCAATGATAGACACTGCCACAGAATCTCGCGGTCTACCGAGTCAAATGCTGCTTTTAAGTTGAGAAAGACCACCATTGTCGGACGTCGATAAGTATGCCTGTGTTCTAGAACCTGACGAATGGTGAATATGTGGTCGATGCAGCCACGACCAGGTCTGAAGCCAGCTTGGTTCTCTCGTATTTGCAGTTCACGAGTCTTAGTTAGGCATCTGATAATTATCGAGGCTAGTATTTTAGATATTATATTAGTTAAACTAATCCCTCTGCGGTTGTCACAGGATGATTTTGACCCTTTCTTATATATTGGGACGATAAGTGATTGTGACCAGTTAGATGGAATAACGTCTAACTCCCAGATCTTAGCTAAAATATTAGTCAACCTAATCGCTAAAATTGGACCACCATCCTTAAAGACCTCTGGAGCCAATCCATCTGGACCAGCTGCCCTTCCTCGTTTCAGATTAACTATAGCCTTTTGAACTTCAGCAAGAGTTAGGGGACCTACTTCAATGTTCCATTCACATTGTCTGGGAATGGAGGGTAGTTGTAGAGTAGCTGAAGGCCAGTTGAACTGTTCTCTGAAATGTTCCGCCCATCGTTCTAAACGTCTGGACTGGGAGCAGATGAGTGTATCGTCTTTTTCCGATATAATCTCACTTATACTTGACTTATTAATTCCAGTTTCTTTTATTAGTCTGTAAAGCTGTCTTGTGTTCCCTATAGTCGCCGCCTTTTCCATCTCTTTTGCTTTCATTGCCCACCACTGCTCACGGTCGTTTCTTAGACTTTTTCTTAACCTAGATCTGATTTGTTGTCGCTCTTCATCATGTTTGGAACCTGATGGGACGAGTTTGCGAGAATCCATCAGTGTGATAGACTTTGAAGAAATCCATTGGTTCTTTGTAACCCTTTGGTTTAAATCACTGATAGATGTCACTGCTGTTTCCACAGCTGTTTGTATGGCTTTCCAAGCAACAACTGGGTCAACCTCGTTTTCAGAACTACCTAATCGTGACCTCAGTTGTTCCTGGAACCTACTTTTGGTTTCCTCGCTACTCAGTTCAGTTCGAATGGGTCTTTTTACTGTGGCTTTTTTGCGTCCAGTGAGGCGCAAGCAGATGCGTGCCCGTATTAGGGCGTGGTCGGAGTCCAAGCAGGTACTCCAGAATGAGCGACAATCTTCTACCGACCCTCTCCAACGATGACTGATGGCAATATGGTCTATTTGAGTCCATCGTTGGTTTGGTGTAAGGGGTCGCCATGTTAGACGATATCTCTTCTTATGCTTAAAATTTGTGTTTGCTAAAAATAAGCGATTGTCTGAGCACAGTTGCAGCAGACGGTCACCATTATCTGTTCGCTGTGCTGGAATGCTAAAATATCCACCTAAATGCCTTTCTGTTTGGTTTAAGCTACCTATCTGAGCATTAAAGTCACCCCCTACGAGTACTATGTCTGAGCGTTTAGCTTTCAGAAAGCTTTCTGTAAAATTCATCTTTCACATCATCTGAGCTGCAGTCAGTGGGAGCGTAGGCAGAAACGACGAAAAGGCAACGACGTGTATCCCTATCCTTCCGAGTTCTTACGGAGCCGTTTAACCGAACAGCCCATAGATGACTGTTGACGGGGATCCACTCTAGAAGTGCTTGTTCCGCCCTCATGCTTAGTGCTATGCCTACACCTGCCAGTTCACGAGAACTGGCCATCGGGTCACCAGATACACAGAGGGTGTATCTCGTTGGCTCTACGTTTTGCCGAGGTGAGGTCAAGAGAATGACCACACTGGAATCCTGTATGTGTGTTTCGGAGACACAGCATACATCAATGGAAAGAGACTCTAGGGTTTTAGCCAAGGAAGCCTGCTGACCGATTTGACATAGAGTGCGTACGTTGAAGGCTCCAATGTGTAGTTTGGAGCGAGGTTTCAGTAGACCTGGGACAGGGTTTTGAGCACTAGAATCGTTGGCTATGGTGACACTTGAGGAGGAAGCCGAAAGAGGAAGTTTAGAGTGGAAAGTCGATGTAGGAGAAATAATAGGAATTGAAGAGGAAGGTTGATTATGAATACAGTGGTCTCGAGTGCTGTTAGAGGTATGAGGGCGGTTATCACTTCCCGGTTGCCCACACCGAGGAAGGGTTCTTCTGGAGGTACCTAGAAAGGAAATTGGATTAGAGGTGGTCTCAGTGACCTGAGAGCGTGACCGCAGTGCCCAAGGGACAACTGCTTGAGGCCGGTCGCGCACGGCCTTTTTGTGGAAGGTTTTTGACATGTTATCTCCGTTCTTCAAGGGGCCTTACCCCCGGAGACGGAAATCCGTGAGGTAAGGTGAGGTGTGCATTTTTAGGGTCGACCTTTTCTAACCCCACCCCTCCTTGTGGGAAGGCAGCATCGCTGTCATGCTGGTTGTCTGAAGGAAACACCTTACTGCTGTCACACCTCTGTACAGTCAGCAGTACGACTTCGCCTTCGGACCTTGGGTTTGTTGCTTTTAGTCTTACCGCTCTTCAACCGACCTGTCTGACATGGTAGGACCTTGAGGAACGGTTGTTCCAGCCAGTATAGCTCGGTTGCTTCATCACGATAGGCAAGCCCGACCACCACGTCAAGGTAGCAACAACGGTCGGGGTGTCCCTTTGTACCAATATTTGTGTTCAAATATCTAAATAAACAAACTAAGATAGGTATTTCGGTGATAAAACTGAAGATCATTTAGATCATTGAACGTTCCAGGTTTAAGTTGTAAATTTACCTCAGTGATCTTCAGTTTTATCACCGAAATACCTATCGTAGTTTGTAAATACAAAGATTGACCTCTGTATTTACATGTCATCAGTTAAAATGGAAAAATGTGAATAAATGAATTCCATATAAAAAACCAACAACCGGTACGTTGAATTTGATTGCTTTTTCCATAAACTGCAGTCCTCCTAAATATAAGTCATAAGGGCTATCAGGTAGAATATACAGTCACAATGTTTTTTCACGATTTACAAGTATTGAGTAGTTTCTGATTATGTAGACACTCCATTACATACTTTATCACCATGATAAAAACGTTTTGACTTATTTTAATAGGGAAGAGATTGGAGGAAGCGTTTCAGCAAGTCAGCTACCCTCGGCATAATACCGAAAAAAAGAATGCTTAAATGACATCCAAAGAGAAGTCAAGACAAACAATCGCCTACCACAGAAGTTGAAGAGCAAAATGAGATTAATAAGGACGAAGCTTCAGACACTAAAAAACGAGCCGGAGTGCCGTGTTTTCGTAAAAATTCTACCTTTGCAGAGCCGAAAATATTTTGGTGGGATTTAGAGTGCTGTCGATTCGAGCGGGGAACAAATAAACAAGGAATAATCAACAAATATAAATCTAGAGCAATAACGACACACACAGACATCCTAACTCTTGGGACGCAAATGTTATTTTGTGTCCAATACTCAACATCATTGTGGCTTCCTAATGTAAGCCAGTTAAATCATATGCCTTTGATTCAAAATATGTCCGTTTTTCTACAACTTTTAGTTTTTACGTGCCTATTATCTTGCGAAAAAGCAACAGGAATAAGTGTTAGCAGTAAAGCCTGTCATACAGTAACGAACAATTGGCTCCTACTGACTCTGAAAAGCACCAGAATCTCCAGACATCAGTTTATGCGGATTGGAAACTTTCTGGTTGGCCACTGACAAGGTACGAACTAACTACTAACCCCCTTTTGAAAACTAGAATTTACTGAAGCACCTCATGACTCAGTACTAGGTTTATTGCTGTTTATTCTTTAAGACAAGTAACTTCCACACATTGGTGTAGTCCTGATCCCTGAGCTGGATGATTTAATCGTGGACAAATATGTGACTGAGTACCAGTTTCAGTTTGGGAAGGACAGGAGGCTTGATGGCCTGTGTTAGTCCTGGCAATGGTGGTCTCTCAGTTGATCCAACTTTCTTTTGAAAGAGTCGACGGATGGAGCCTCAACCACGTGCTGAGGTAGTGAATTCCACTCGTTGATGATTCGATGGGAAAGTCGATAGTCAGCTGACAAGTAATTTGTTCTCGGCTTATGAACTTTTTTGGAGTGTCCTCGTATATTCTCTGTTTTGGAAGACAAGAAAAATGAGGGCATATTAGGTGCAAATTTATCACTAAGCAATTTGTAGACTGTAATCAAGTCGCCTCTAGTTCTGCGATATGACAACGGGAAAAGGTTCAGCTTGGCTAATCGAACTTCATACGGAAGCTTCGCTATTCCGGGAATCAGCTTAGTCGCCGTTCTCTGAACCTTTTCCAGAAGCTCACTGTCTTTTTTTAAGCAGGGGCTAGCCGCTTGTATGCAGTACTCAAGTGTAGGACGAACGAACACTGTATACAAAGTCAAAAACGTTTTGGCGTCGACATGACTAAAAGCTCTACGTATTGACCATAAGGTTCTAAAACCTTTGGCGGCTATTGAACGGCAGTGTGCAGTAGTCTTTAAGTCTTGACTAACGATAACTGCTAAGTGATTATATGTCTGGACGACAGGTAGCTCAGTGTTATTCATCGTGTATGTATCTGTACCTTGATGACCGATATGCATCATAACACACTTGGAAGTATTTATCGGCAACTGCCAGGTTTGAGACCATTCAGATAACTTCTTCAGGTCATTTTGAAGTTCTAAGTTATCACTCTTACATCGTATCGTTTTCCATATCTTGACATCGTCAGCATATAGCAGGACCGATGATGATAGGAGACAAGGAAGGTCATTTACATACAAGAGGAATAGCACTGGCTCCAAAACTGTACCCTGGGGCACTCCACTAAGCACAGTTTCTCAGCTAGATAACTTTGTTGACGCCCAACTAAGAAGTCTTTTATCCAATCCCGACTTTTCTTAACTTATATAACAGCCGGTTGTGTTGAACTTTGTCAAAAGCTTTACTGAAATCAATGAAGGCGACGTCTACAGGTAGCTTTTGGTCCTTAAGAGCGCACCAGCTTTTACGAGCCACTAATAAGTTAGTGAGACAAGAATAACCTATTCTGAAGCCGTGCTGCTTCTCCGAGAGGATCCGGTTTTTATCGAGATACTTAAACAGCTTCTTCCGAATAATCTTTTCTAAGATTTTAACAACCACACTAGTTAGGCTAACGGGACGGTAGTTCTCAGGTTTGTGTTTCGTACCTGTTTTGAAGACAGGACTTACTATGGCGTTTTTCCAGTCTTTTGGTAAACGACCCTACGTTACGGATAGGTTAAAGCATATACTTAAAGGGTTCGCAACGAAGTTAGATAATTCCTTCAGTAGCCTAGGATGTAATTCGTCGGGCTTCGTGGATTTACCTATGTCAAGCTCATTCAGCAGACCAAAGACATCGAGTTATTTAATGGTCACGCTATCCAGTGTATATGTGGGGGAATCTGTATGCACTGACGGGAAGGGTGCTTCTATGTTATATACATTGCTAAAGTAGTTCGAGAACACTTGAGCCTTACCAAAGTCCTCCTCCACTAATGATGAAGCAGTACTGTCTCCCCATAGAGCAGAAATATTTCCTTTTCTCCTTGTCCTTTGGTTTATATAGGAATACAAGCGTTTACGACATTCTATGGATTCCTTAACAAGTTTTTCCTCGTACAATTTTCTAGACTTACGGAGGGTCGAGGCACAAGTGTTCCGAGCCTTTCGATACTGAGATTTTGACTCATCAGTCCCCAGTAACCCAAATCTATCCCACGTTTTCCTTTTCTTACGGAGAAGGATACGGACCTCCCTACTGAACCATGGTGGTGAGTTTTTCGGCCCCTTTGGTATAGTCCAAGGGATGTGAGGTGTGGTAACTTTTAAGTATGATTTTCGAAATGCGTCCCAGGCCGTTTCAATGGAGGACTCTGGGTCTATTGTCCAATCTATTAACGATGCTGAGTGCATGATGTCTGGTATGTTTGCTTTCCAGACGTTGGGTCTGGACTGGACTGACGCGTCCTCATGACTGGCAGTTATATGGAAGTCAAAAGTTAAAACTGCGTGGTCACTTTTACCTAAGGGTGGCATATGGTGGAGGTTCGCAACATCATCCTCATAGTGAGTCAGTATAAGATCTAATAAGGATGATTCAGTGTCCGGATCGTACCTTGTCGCTTCTTTCACATGTTGCACTAGAGCACATGTGATAACCCCATCAACTAGTTCCTGCTCGAAAGAATTCTCCGACGATTTAGTTCGCAGATTTTCCCAGTCTACCATAGGTGCATTAAAGTCCCCTAGGATTAGACATCGACCACTTTGGGACCAAGTATTGAGACTGCTTAACAGGATCTCATTTGCCTCACAGCTTGGACTGCGATAGACCAAACCAATCAGCAGCTCTTGTCCCTTGCATTTTAAGCGAAGACTAACTAATTCACACGTCCCACTCTCATGGGATACACTATCGATAATGGTAAATGGGATAGCATTCCTAATGAATAGAGCTACTCCCCCTCCTTTGCGCTTTTGTGTTCTGTCGGCCCTTACTAACGTAAAGCCCTCGAAATCAAGTTCTATACTATCTATAGCCTGTGTCAGCCAGGTTTCTGTTACTGCGATTATATCTGGCTTTGTAGAGTCAATCTGTACACCTAGTTCCGATCGCTTATTAAGTAAGCTTCGTGCATTGGTGTAACAGATCCGAAGCCTGTTTAAGTGCCTTCGTGCTTCACCCAGAGTGGCTTCGGCATCATTCTCTGTCGAAGTCTTACAACCCGAAAATTTACAATTTTCAGGTCCTTTTCGCCAGCGTCTAACCTATGTTGTAGTTCTTTCTCGGCTTCCCGTCTTTTAACACGGTCTGCCAACGGTAGGTCCTTTCGGATAAAGACTCCTGAACCCTTTAATTTGTGTCCATTTTGTAAAATTAGGTCACGTTCGTTCGAAGAGCTGAATACTACTTTAAGCAGTCTGGAATGATTTAGTTTCGAGTCCGCTAGACTCCCTAGTCTGTACACCTTTAGCAAGGTGACCCCGGTCAAATTTTGAGGCATGAGTTGATTAAGCAGCTGTTTAATTAGCACAATGTCATGCTCAATGCGAGCTTTTGGTTCAGAACTCCCACTCTCCTTGATCCTAACGCAGCCCTTTTTACTGAACCTTTTGAAAGCCGCAGGCGTTAAATTTGTGCAAACTTCGTGGTACCATCCTTTGCACTCATCGCACCGCATGCCGCTTTCAACGGAATAACGACAACCCGTACACGTTGGCAACTGCTTTTTTGCACTGTCCGGTCATTAGAAAGGGGTCCTTTCCAAAAAAGAGCGAGATACAACAATGCTCAAAGACAAAAAAATGATCTATGACCAAAAAGTGGAGAACCGTAGATTGTTAGGACCAAAAGTACTAAGAGTACCGACGATAAACTAATTGAGAAACAGTAAACGATGCTCTAGTCGAATACATTAACTGAAATAAATTCAATTCAAGTGAAAACAGTAGTCTTGATACGTAATAAACGATCAAAACAATAAAATTTACACAGCGAGGAAAAATACCACTGTCCATTTTAATTAGCGCTCCTCATTTCATATCAGATTACATTCCACATATCTTCAAACCCAAAAAAGTCTATGGACTAATAACTACGAGATATGGGGATAAGTAGTAAAAAAGGTAGTGAACTTGCACTCCAGGTCTACTGACAATAGTCATGATTAAAGATCATCAATGACGATGAGTGCATCACTCTGCACGTTGAACATGAAAGTCCCAGTGATTACTAAATTATAGAAAGTACCCTGTTTATAGTTCGAATTTGAAACTGGTAGATTGCAGAAAGTGATGACCAGAAGATCATAACTTACCGCCCTCTGTTGTACCTAAAGTGTGGCGCGGTTAAAACGTAAAATCCTTTCCGAGTCTCCCGCCGTTTCGTTTCAACGACCTTGAACGGGTAGTATGCGGCTGTCATTTCATATTTGAATCTCAGTCAGTTTGCTGAGTGTCAGTTGGATTTTACGGATTTTTGGTGTTCTCACATCAAGTAGTCTATCACTACTATAGAACTACAACATCATTCCATAGAACGTTAACTGATCTTCCTCGCCTTTATAGCTTAAACGTTACCCCGACATAGTGCGCGCTATTCAACGTTATAACACCAACAACGTTTGACGTAGAGGGAAGCAAAAGTCATAATTGAATTCATGTATTCAATGGACTTTTCATGTTATTAAATGAATTTCATCGAAATAACAGATCATGATATGAATTTTGTCGACTGTAATTTTTCACCATGTCAGACTGCGTTACCCCTGGCAGGTGCAATACATGCTGAAATGATATACTAAGTTGTAGAAAGCTTAGTTATAGTCGTTTTCCTTTAAATATAGACCATCACTTAATAATGGAGAAACGTTTCGGGGCTAAGTTAAGTCCTGGTAGTTTTTCTGTAGACCATGCTTTGACGCTTAAAAGACTGTAGTTCTGTGTCTGAGAACATTATCGTTTGTTGTCTTATATTTTGTTTATGAGCCAGTTTGAATCGAACGCTTTTCAGCACATTGGTAGCCACCTCCCCCCAACATATTCATGCTATTTTTAGCCTCTTAAGTTTAGTACACCCGGTTTTCACATAATTCAGTTAAGTCCAAACGATAGTGCCTAGAAGAAGTTATGAAAAATATCAATGTAGCAATTAGAGTTGTCTATTTTTCATGTGCTAACAACACTGATCTTAGATGCAAACTAATTTCACTGTCGTCTGATAATCATGAGAAAATACTTTGAGAAAAACGGATAAGCATTTCATCACACAAAACACGTAAACATTCCAAAGGAAGTGCACTGATTCAAGTATTAGTTGTAATTGCTATGGCAATATTGTGACAATTATCGAACCACGCTGGGAAGTACAAAGAAGCACTTCACACAAATAAAGTGGTGGAACTCATAAACGTGGTTGACATAAATCATTGATGTCTTTGCCGTTTCATAGATACAATTAACACCAGAGAAGTATTAAAGTGAAGCAAAGTTGTTTGTTGTTTTTTTTACTTTGTGGGGTTGACAGAGTGAACCGTAGGGGTGGCGGCGCTATCCTGTGCATGAAAAGCATCTTAGCCATACGACATGTCGAGATAATGGCATACGACTCGGGAAAATGTGAAATGGATCTCTCTCGGTAGTGTGGTGTTCCAGCCAGAACGGACTTTTTCATGCATAATGGTAACGCAACAAAAGTTAAGATGTTTATGAATTTCAATTGCCCTGGATCTGTATAGTTTGCATGTATACTAGGTAACACACGAACACTTTTAGTGGTGTTGGTCCCAACTACAATCATCGAAGCCGAACATAAGATAACCGGGAAAATAGACTAAGAGAAGGCCAATAATAGTGGACGCGGGAATATTGATTCGAAGTTCATTTACATCATGGCTATCTCCCCAATATTTCCTGATACACACATAGACATAAAAACCATCTCAGGAGAGGTCTTTAGTCGCCCCACCTTAGTATTTGCTACCACCTCTTTTTACTATGTCTTCGACCTGATAGATCAACCGCTGATTTTATTAGACATAGAGCAAACATTTTTGAAGCTCAACGTTTCCTCTGTACGTCAGCGTGTGCGTACCCTTTGCATGTACCTATATACTTGAACTACATATGTCAGAGAAATCCTGTGGTGGCATTGGGCCTTAATACGAGACAATGTGTGAAATAGACATTCAACATTTAGCACGGAGAAAAACTCAACGATGAAGAGGGCAAGAAGAATGAATTGAATTAATTGGAGTTGATCGTACGACATGGCCCGGCCATGCAGGCGTGGTCCCTGCTGAATGCTACCTTATATCTTCTATTCATATGAATTATATTGTTCTATCTCTAGACTAAGTTCTTTCTCTACCATGTATTGGTAATTGTTACAATGTAGTGAGTTGGTGTACACGATGATGTGACTTCCACGTAAGATCTTATAGAATAGGCAGATGTATCATGACAACTCTACACTTATAGGATTAGGTCTATTGTTAGAGCAGTACTATTATCATAGTGGACCATAATTCTTCACTCTTGTAGTTCTCATACGTAAGCATGCACATCTTGTAGCCCGAGCTATAGGGTAAGTTTCAAGTAAAAAAACCAAGGGTGATCAGATGCGACACAGTGGTTGGTTGGTTCGATCTCTCCGGCTGCCTAAGTTTGGTAGTGCGGCTGCTCCCACTATCCCTCAGAAACACGGGGAATCGTTGGGTCGGATTCTGCTGCCAGTTACAACGAACCTCCTCCCAGAATGAGTGAGGTGCACAAAGTCTCCAGATAATGGAAAATCAGTGGATGTTGTTAACGTAGACCAACAAAGTACTTGATAAGGTGTCAAATAATAAACTCCAAGTCACTACCTAATGAATTACCCCAAGGCTCCGTCCTGGGTCCTTTATATTTTATACTGTAAATTAACTCCCAGAAACTGTTGATGATGCATAAGTCTGGTGAGAAACGATTGAGGATATAGATGCATGTGCACTTCAGGAGGACCCAAATGTTCTGGTTAGCTGGTCTAAAACATTAGCTGATGCATACCAACGAGGCTAAGCGAGTCTGCATGCTCAGTGGGGATCCAAGGATAACCAGGAACAGCAAAGGGGAAGAGTTGGTGACCGTCGTTTTCAGGCTCACATGTATATTGGGGTGAGAACTAGCCATTATCTTAAGACCATGACTCACTGTGGTCGTAGCCAAAGGATTCAGGGCCGTCCAGGCTTTAAGGTGGACATTTACGAAGTTGGATACCAAAATGTTCACTATAGTGTGCACAAACTTAATGAGATTCAGACTTCAGAACTGAATTTAGTCTACAAACCCCTGTTTAAATAGTGACTCGCATATCTTGGAAAGAGTACAGGAGTAGCTGTTCTTACAATTTCAGAACTTTAGCGTTTACCATGCAAAGAGCGGCTTCAGAATCTCAACTTCCTAACTCTGTCCAACTGCAGATTAAGAGGTGATTTTATTTCGATGTACAGAATACTTATAATTGATTTAGACTAGATATACCCTCACTTTTTAATCCTATCAAGTCACGACGACTCGGAGAAAATAAGAGGCGAGTACAAACGCCGTGAACGATCAGAATACCTACGACGTACAGGCTTACACAGCGAGTCATTGATTCTTGGAACTTGTTACCTAGAGAAAAGGTATGTGCTCCTTTAATTGACTCATTCGTGAGAAGACTAGACATTCTAAGAAGCTTACTATAAAAGAACCGCACCGGAATTCTATGTGAAAGCCGACGATAACTACCTTAGGATCATTAATAACTACGTATGAATCCAGTCTCTTTGATGTTCATTTTTGCATAGTCTATGCTGAGCGGATAACAGAGGACATACTTTCAACACTTCTAAGTTTTAAGTAACCCATTTAAGACATGTTACAGACTACGCGTACGAATGAAGGAAGTTGGACGGCAACACTTCTGACTCGATCTTTAACAACTTTATTTGAGCCCATGTGGAGTACGTTACAGCTCTCTCTCCGGAAGTAAAATACACGGAAACGTATTCAAAGACAGGCAATAAAATCAGTTTGAAGACGTAAGTTCAAAGCTCATGCAAGGCTTCAAGATGGCACGGCTATTCGGAAGCTGACAAAGCCTTTACACGGAACACGGTTATACTCAAAGGATATCAGCCCAATCAAATCAGAAGTCAGAAACGAAGAGTTTTGAAAATATGTTTCAAAAGTCATCGATGTGCTGAGGAGCTTTTGGTTCAAACTGGTTAGTAGTTGCAAGGGATATGTAGCACGACGTGCATACTCGATATTGATGCAGTCTTATGTGTACTACTTTGTTTTTAAGACTCATTTGTCGGATCACTTCTTTATGATGGCTGAGAACAATTAAAATCTTATTAACCTTAACGAGCCTCCCCACCTTTATTCAAGAGAATTACTACAGTTCTTCATGAAAGGCTAATAAGAAATATTTCGATATTCAAGGCCTTTTAAAGCTGTTCCAGAGTGTACATGCCTAAATCTCAACATACCAAAGGTAATTATAGTGTAGATCACCAACGTAGATGATCCATGTCGAAATGATTGGAGGCCTACCCGAGTTGAACGGTAATGGTGTGACGAACCAACTAACGTCGAAGTCACACCTCGTGGTCAGCACCTTACGTGGACTACCCTCGTTGACGTATCAAGGTACTATAGGGGCTTTGAAGGCTGTACAACACAAAGGACGTTATTACAGAAATATATTAGTCGAAGTAGATACAAGCGAAAGTAAGACCACTGCCGCATGGGCCAGTCCATGGCCGTTGGTTGTACATGACCTTAGCAGGGAGCGATGATCTGTTCGACATTCAGTGATCCAACTGCCGGATGATTTGGCTAGGGCTCAGTGACATTTCACTGGCCTTACAATAGCGTTTATAGAGTTATTGCCGCCCGTGTTTAGATTTTAAAGTTAGTAAAATACTCAGGCGACCCAATTATGTAATAGCAAGGCAATATTTAAGGAGGAGAAATGTGTAAAGATTATAGTTTTGATATTTGATTTGAACTCAAATGATCGGAAAATGTTACAATTTTAGACTCTTGCATACTCTTTGGTTTGCTACCTATCCTCACCATCTCTAAACCAAATATAATCTGACCTGTGGTTTTTGACTTTAACCATTAGTCATAGTCATAGCAGTATGATATACTAAATAGATATCTAACCCACAATACAGATGCTTCAAACATCTGATTTACCTCTAACATGGAACTAGTAGAGTTAGTGTATTCGAAAAAGGAGTTTAGATTAAAGCAATATTCATACGCACCGCAAACGTCAGAGAGTCTAATATCACAAAAGGAGAGAGGGTGGCCTTACTTACCAGCAAACATGATGGTGGGGAGATAAT